TGTTTAATCCTTACATTAATCTTATAATCTCAAAGTCCTCTTTAAATTATTATTACTACTATGACTTTACTATTATTATTGTTGTTGTTGTTTATAATTTATATAGTTAACCTTCATGTGGTTCGACCCCAGTCTTGCCAGGTTATTTATTACTTTGACACTCCTACACTTAAGAGAAGACATCAATCTTTTGGTTGTGTCAAGTTTTTGGCACTGTTGATATGGAGTTAAATTATTGTATAAATTATAGTGTTTATTTTATTTTTTATTTTTTCTTTTCTTGTATATAACTTTGTTTCTTTTATTTTGTTTCCTTTTCTTTTGTTTTCTTCTTCCTTTTATTCTATTTCTACAAGTGCATGAGAGTTTGGTCACGTGCATTAAGTGGTAGACTTTGTAGGGTATCCTCATTATTTTTAGAAAATATGGCAGAAGAAGATAATCAATCGCTTCATAATGAGAATAATGAAAATAACCGTGTCAGAACACTTAGAGACCACATGAATCCTACAAGAACAAGTTGTATTATTCATAGTTTTCCCTACTGATGCATCTCATTTCAATTTTAAGCCAGATATTATTCAACTTTTACCTTCTTTTCATGGTCTAGATTTAGAAAATCTATACTTGTATTTATAGGAATTTGAGGAGGTCTGTAACACTAAATCTAAATTATTTGAATTTAAAATTATATAAGATATTATTATTAAACGTGATTTAAGGTCAATCCAATATAAAATTCAAGTTACGTATTAAATAGTTTAACTTAAATTATTTATTTTTAAAAAAAATTAAAATAATATTAGTTTAATTTTTTTAATAAATTAAACCAGATTTTTACTAAATTAACTGGATGATGAGTTGATCCATCCAGGTAACCAAGTTAAACTAAGTTATTTATTTCACCACCAACCCAAATTAGAGCAAAGATTTGCTAGATCCTAAATTGACCCATCTAAGCAGCTAGGTTTAATAATAACAAATTAGGAACAAATAGTTCTCCGTGTAATTGCCAATATAGGTAATCCTCCATAAACCCTTTGGTTGGAAGACGCATCGTTACAACATCTGGATTTAAAAACTTTTTATTTTTACACTTTCTGCATAGACACCTAATACCGCTTTCAGTAAAATTCAATAGATATTGTGAAATTAATAAAACCATGAAGCCCATTACAATAATTCATCATTCGCAATCCTTGAGGTGAGTCTCGATACATCCATGAATGATCATCCATGACTTATATCAAACCTCTATAAAATTATGATGACAACATGTTTTAATTAACTATGTTAATTTAATAAATTTATAAAAATATTGGTTTGCCTTGACATTATACAACAAACTAAAAAAGAATATTTTTTAAATATTCATTATCAATTATCAACGTCTATACAAATTTATACATACATAAATATACAGAAATTACAATTATGTAATAGAATTGATAAAAATTAAAGCAGACTCGTTAAACAAGCTATTATTTATTTCATCAAAACGCATCTAATTCTGTAATTCAACAAAGTTTCAATAATTTACAAACAAATACAATTTGAAAAAATCTAAAATAAACCATAACAACTATAAAATTATACATTCATCCTAAAAGTCTCTTTAACAAATAATAATAAAACATGTACATATACTAATAAAATATGTATACTAAAAAAATTATAAAATTGATATTTAAATGTTAAAATACAAAAGGATAGATTTACTTACAAAAACTGATAAAATCCTCAAAAATCAGAGCACGAATATTATGACCATGTATAAAAGTACAAGAAAGATGAATTGTGTTGAGAAGAGGAGGATATTTTTAGGGGGTTGGGTGGTTGTTTGGAGTTTGGAAGGAGAGACTTAATATGGGAAGAAGGAGAAGAAGAAGGAGGAGGAGGGGGATATTAGCTTTTACTGATAGAATCACCGACAAACACATTTTGTTGGTAATTTTGTTGGTGAATGGGTTATGTCACTGTACAGAGATCTCGGTTTGAATCTCTCAATCATTCCATTGGTAAAATTGCTTGCAAAAAATCCATGTCATCAAATAGCTTTTTTATTTTAAATTCTATATATTTCGTTTAAAATTCAATTGGTAACTACTGATGAAATTAATCCATCAGTACAAAATTTTAGACAGATTACAACCTGTCGGTAATTATTATCGACAACAAAATTCTATCGGTATAAACTGATAGAAATACAGATGGAATGTAGTTTGTCGGTAATTATTATTTATAAAATTATTTTGTTGATAATTTTGTTAGTTTTAGCCGAATTTCTAGTAGTGTAATATCCGGTTTTAATAGACTATCGACTTGGGATATATAGAAATTATACTTTGATGCAATTATAATTATAATTAATTTATAATTTTATTTGAAAAATAATTATGTTCCAATAACATTATCTTTACTCTATATTTATTAATAAAATATAAAGGAATATTAAAAATAAAAAATCTTTACTAATAATAAATATATTTTTACATAAACAAAGCTAGTGTTAATTATAACCAAGCGGTTGACTTTGAGATAAATATAATAATAATATTGATTGTATCTCTAATAATGCTTTTATAAAATACCTATAAGTGCATTTGTATTTCTACAGTATTGTCATTATATTAATAATTGAAACACAATATAATTTAAAATTATTTTAATCAAGGTTTATCTAAAATCATTAAAATTCTTAAACTTGAAAATTGTTGGATAAAAAAGTAAATTATTTATTTGTAAATAATTTAAAATTAGTTTTTATACATAAAATGTTTTAAATAATTTATTAATACACATGCAGAGCGTAAGTCACAAAGTCTATTTTATGTAATTTATTAATACACATGCAGAGCGTAAGTCACTAATTACTACCATTTTTTTTTTTTTACTATTAGGCCTGTTATTTTTTATATTACCTTTCATGCATTAAACCAAGAACGGTCTTCATGAGATCTAGTAAAAAATCAGAATTAAGAGATTTATTAATTTTTTTATATTTGATTTAATATTTAAGATAAATTATAAAAAAAAAACCGTTTAATGTGTCATAAAATTATAATGACCATCCAAAGATTTTAAAATATTATAAGAACCCCTTAAAATTTAAGTAAATATTATAAGAACCTCCTTTTTATCTAGAATACTTTTTATATTTTTGCATCACCCCCTTAGTATTAAAGATATTTTGGATATAAAAGAGAGGTTTTATAATATTTCAAACTTTTAAATGATTATTGTAATTTTATAAAACCTCAGAGGACTGATTATAATTTACCTTAAGATTTAAATCCTAAAATTAAGAAATAGGAATTTCTCAAAGTCTTCCAATGACCCTGCAATGGTGATAGGTGCACCGAAGACTTCTCAGCTATCAATTCCCACGTGACGCACGAGGCATAATTGCTTAAGAGAATAGATATTTTCTCAAACACTGTTCTTCTTGTAAAATTGAATCCTATCAGATTGAGATGCTCTTGTCCATTCATTCGTTGCATACGAGACTGCATATGCAGTGCACGGCGACTGTATTTCTTAGTTAAAAATATCATTTTCATATTTTTTACGATGATTGAAATTGAAGCTGCACGCACAATAATAAACAGGCTAATTATTAATATGATATTCATTTAATTGAAAATATTGAATTTAAAATGAATTTCCACATGTATTAAAAAAAACTAAACATGTTATTGTTATTGTTTCCTAAAATAATGTAATGAGTTTTTGACCCTCTATTCAAAAATCTTATAACAGACTTTTAAGAGTATTGAGATATTTCTTTAGTTATTTGCATTTGAATTTGAATTTTTGATTTTTGATTTTGGTTTTTTATAAAAGTTTGATTTGTTTTTAATTTTATTTTTAAATTCAAATTAATAGTATTATTTTTTCTATTTTGGTCCTTGTAATTTTGATTTTTAATTTTTTCTTGGTTTTTTATAAAAATTATTATTCTTTTCAATTTCACCCTTCAGTTATAGTATTGTTTTTATTTTTTTTGTTAATTTTGATCCTTATTCTTCTCAAGTTTTTTTCTTTTACTAAATTATTTTTTTCAATTTCACCCTTTAATTAAATATAATATTTATTTTGAATTTTAATTTTGATCTTTATTCTTTTAATTATTATCTTTTTAAATTTATTTGTATAATTAAAATTTATTTTTAATTTCATCATTTAATATATGAGTAATTGATAATTGAACTTTAATATTTTTGTTTTTCAAATTAGATGTTTCGGGTCTATTTTTTTTAAATAAGAGCTTTATAATTTTTTTTTATTTTTTATCAATTTACTAGAATCTTATTATTTGGGTCATTGATTTAACAGGATATCTCAAGTTAACTCGATCTTAATTACTAAAATTATATATTTTTTATCATTTGTGTATTTCATTTTGACACCTAAACATCAATTTTTATAAAAACAATAATGCAACCCCAAGGCTAGTATGTGTGTATGCATTACAACAATTATACTATTATTTATTCTATTTTCTCATCAAATTCAAATTATTTAAAATTAAAATTATATAAGATATTATTATTAAGCGTGATTTGAGGTCAATCTAGTAAAAATCAAGTTACTTATTAGATAATTTAACTTTAATTATTTATTTTTTTAAAAATAAAAATAAAAATATTTTAATTTTATTAATAAATCAAACCAGATTTTTACTATATTAACCGGTTTGTGAGTTGATGCATCCAGTTAATAAAGTTAAATTAAGTTTTTTATTTCGCCACCAACCCAAATTAGAGGACAGATTTGCTGGATCCTGAATTGACCCGTCTAAGCAGCCAGGATTAATAAGAACAATGTAACATCACCATCCATTAACAGGAAAATCAAGGATAGAACCCGAACCTTATCCTGCCAGAATGCACCGATCAAATGGACACGCATAAGTAATGTCATAAAAAGAAATAAAAGGAAATGATCACGTGATAAAACTGCAACACCGCAGAAATTGAAATAGTCAAATGGCAGATCACATGAAAATAATTTTTAAAAAAGAACCAAACGAAAACCATAAGCAACATTCTGACAGTGGCAGGCAAAGGCAAATTGGCCATGGACAAATGGGTGGTGCGTAGTAGCATTTTCCTTCTCTTCGTTGCCATGTCCTTAGCCTTTCGATTTTCTCTGAACCCAAATGGGAAACACTTTGATTCTCTTCTAACATGCCTCAATAATAATAATAATAATAATATCTCTTCTTCTTCATATTTGAAAGAGCGGATAGTTGAGTTGGCTAATGATCCACACACCGTTGACTGGATGAAGAAGATTAGGAGACAAATTCATAAGAACCCTGAACTTGCTTTTGAAGAGTTTGAGACAAGCAAGTTGATTAGGCAACAACTTGATCAAATGGGAATTGCTTATCGGTGGCCCGTGGCAAGAACTGGTGTAGTGGCCACACTTGGGTCTGGTTCTTCACCCTATGTTGCTCTGAGAGCTGATATGGATGCTTTGCCCATTCAGGTATTATGTTTTGTTCCTGTCAGAAACAAAATATATATTTTGGTTGATGTAATGGGATTTCTTCAGAAAAATTCTGCAAACCATGCCTTTTATTCAGACATGGTAGGTTTTGATTCTGTCCTAAATATACATTTAGACATCGCTTGATTTTTCCATGATATGTACATGTTTTTCTGTGCTGTCCAAGCATAACATGGGCATTTTAACAGAATTTGCTAACTTGGGACTAGGAAAAGAAATTTATAACTTGGACTATATATGTTGTCTCTCAATAGGAAATGGTTGAGTGGGAGCACAAGAGTAAAGTAGATGGAAAAATGCACGCTTGCGGCCACGATGCGCATGCTGCAATGCTCCTCGGTGCTGCAAGGATCTTGAAACAATTGCAAGATACGTTGCAGGTAAATTCTGATTTTGTGGCAAACTTGTTGATTTATATTGATGTTACTGCAAACCGCGGAATTAAGAACTACAAATGCAGGGAACTGTCGTGCTTATATTTCAACCAGCTGAAGAACAAGGGCAAGGCGGTAAAGACATGATTGCAGAAGGGGTTCTTGACAATGTAGATGCCATTTTTGGGTTGCACACTGTGCATAGGTATCCTACTGGAGTGGTTGCTTCTCGGCCTGGAGAATTCCTTGCAGGATGTGGGAGTTTCAAAGCAAAGATAATTGGAAAAGGTGGTCATGCTGCAATTCCCCAAGACTCCATTGATCCAATTTTGGCAGCATCAACAGCAGTGATTAGTTTGCAGAATATAGTTTCAAGGGAGATTGACCCTTTAGATTCTCAGGTACTATAACCGAGTAGTAACCATGCCTGGGAGCAAGCTACATTTCTTCAATTTAGTTTTATGATTCTGAGGTGCAGCAGATTCTAATTCCTTGGCGAAACTTGGATATTACAGGTGGTTTCTGTAGCTATGATCCATGGAGGTACTGCATTTAATGTCATACCAGACTCTGCTTCAATAGAAGGAACGTTCAGGGCTTTCAGCAAGAAGAGCTTCAATGCACTCAGGGAAAGAATAAAAGAGGTAACTCTAACTGCTGACCTTAGAAATGAAACCTCTTCACGATTTTTAGATAAAAGCCACATACGAGTCATGTGATATCTTGAACAACAAGCACTGTAATAAGGTTTTCGTAATGATACCCAAGAAAAGAAACAAGGGTTTGAGTTCTTGCCACATCAAGCCTCTTGATAAATCAACAGATCGGTTGTAGTCATACTGAAAGTGTTAAAACTGGACAAGGAAAAGGAACAAGCACTTCATAGAATCCTCTTCTTGAAGAAACTTGCACTTCATCTCTCTATTTTTAAGTGCGTTAATGTCTTGTGCCAGGTTATTGAAGGGCAGGCAGCTGTACATAGGTGCACTTGTGAGGTAAATTTCACAGGAACTGAACATCCCATAATCCCTCCAACAGTAAATGATGCCAGAATTTACGAACATGTTCGGCGTGTTTCAATTGATATCGTAGGAGAAGGAAACGTTGAGATAGCTCCCATCTTCATGGGGAGTGAAGATTTTGCTTTCTATCTTGATAAAGTACCTGGATCCTTTTTATTTCTAGGCATGAGAAATGAGAAGATTGGGAGTATATATCATCCACATAGCCCATACTATACCATTGATGAGGATGTGTTCCCAATTGGAGCATCAATATATGCGGTCTTTGCACACTCATACCTTTTAAATTCAACAAGAAACTTGAATTCTTATGACTAAAATTATTTTCTTTTTCTATTGTAATCGTTTGTCTGTGATCTTTTAAGAAGGGAAAATGGAGTTTACCCAATATAATGTAGTCTTTTTTAAACAGAATTGGTGATGGGAAAAAAGTTGCTAAAAAATTATTAGACCAATTAGATTTGCGAGTGTGTCATGTTCATTATAAGTGCATGCTATTCAAATTTGTTGTGAAATTAGTTTGTCCATATGAAAAGACTAGTGTTTATACATGATAAAACTATAAACATGCAATATTAAATTTCAAGCTAAACTTGTAATAAAAAATAAAACTAGTCTTATTATTTATAATTAATATCAAAACAATGTCTTAATATCCATTCTAAGAATATAAAATATTAAAAATTTAATAGAAACAAAGTAAGGTACCTATTAATTTGAATAAGTTAAATGTAGTTGTTGTCATCGATTAATATTTTAAAGTTTTATTATTTCTTACTAAATAAGATGTTTGTAAAAAGTCATTGAAAATTTCAACAATATTATCTACATTTTTAAACAAGGTTCACAAACACAGAAATTAACTCGAGTATTTATGTGTAAGAACTGTATCTAAGCTTTAGATTGAAAAGAACAACATGGCTTAAAAAGAAGAAAATAATAGATTAACATTGCAGAAAACTCTTCGTTTAGTTCATTTTTTATAATGGGTTTTGGAATTAAAATTGATAAAGAATTTAATATAGTAATTGCTGGAATTAATTCTCTTAATTGTAAGCTTTGATTCGTCGAAAAATTAAAATTAAACTTGACAGCTGTAGCTTTAAATATGATGTTTTTTTAGTTGAAAAAACTGTCTAGAAATTCTTCATGTTAGTGAAGAAAATGACCAAACTTTGTTCATGGATTCTGATAATTATTAAAATTAATTTCCTCCATTATTAGCTTTCATTATCCATCATGAAACCAGAATTATTAAATCCGACACTTTTTAAGTGAAAAAACTGTTTAGAAATTGTTTAGGTTACACTTTACACTCGGAGAATAAAGTTGGAGGAGGTTTTAAACTGTATATAGAATTTTGTCTCTCAATCTCTCCCTAGTGCATAACATGTGGAATCTGAATTGTTTATTGTATATGAGCTGATAATGGTTTGTGGTGAAAGCTGAAAGCTCATGTGGTATAATTTTCAAGAGCCCGTGACAAAGCGGGGTCGTCTGTTTTTGTTTTCCTTCTCCCAAGCCATAGCTTCCCCAAAATGTGCTCAGTATTTTCTACATTAGGATATGCATATGTTCTTTGAATTTAGCTGAACATATTCCTAAATTTATTTAAGATCTTAAGCAGAAGGGCGTCATAGAGACTAGTGGCATCTTAGATGTATATATAGGTTATGTTTGGAGTGTGCACGATAAAAAAAAATGAAAAAGAAAAGAAAAACATAAACGTATTTGATATAAAATAAATATATTTCTATAATACTTTTCCAATATCTATCTTTTTCGTTCTTTCCACAAGAAACCCTGAGCTGTAGTAGAGTTGGAATGCAACACTGAGCTCCTAAATTCTCTTTCCATACAAAGTTACAGGAATGAATGGATAGAAAGTTTATTTTGCCTAGGTTATTTTCTCTGTATAAACTTGAGTGTTTTTTGAACTCATTTTTAACTTTTTAATTTTTCACTATATAAATTATACAAAAAATTTATTTCTCTTTTATATGAGATGGAAGCTTTTAAAGGGTTTTAGATTTTTTCAAAACATGTCAGCCAAAGATTTTTTTAAAATCAATTTTTTATTTATTCATTATTTATTTTAATAATGTTAATGTTTTATATTAGAAAGTTTATGTTGAAGAATAAGCCTTACCAAAGTTTTAATAGATTTCCCTTTTAATTTGACATCAAATATATTGTAGTAACCATGTTTTAAATTAATTTTTCCATAAAAAAAACGACTTTTCAATCCTTAAAATCCATATCCTAACAGGAGCTGCATAAAAAATGATCGGCCATATCCCAATGTAGATGATACTGTCTACAAAAACATGTAAATCATCTAGGTTATTTCTTCAACTTTTCATTTCAGCTTGATGAAGTTTGAGTCTCCTTCACCAACAATCCATTTGCTTAGTTCACAGACATTAGCAACAATAAAACTTGGTTCCGAGATGGCTTAAGACGCAATACAACAGTCTTGGCAATAAAAACAAAGAAGAAGAAGAAGAAGAAGAAGAAGAAGAAGACCGATTGACATTCGTATCTTGCTAAGGAACCTCTTTACAAAATATTCAACATCATCCAGTACAGAAGCAGTTCGAAGCATCAATAGTTTTTGAATTGGTTTGGATTGAAGGCAAGAACATTGCAGTAAGTTCACTGACCTTTGGTTATGAATTCCTAATACAGATTTTGGCACTTAAACGTAAATCATATACAAGAAGTTAACATGATACCCCGTAAAATGTTGTATGTTTTAGCTGTCATTTAACCCTTTGAAATTGAAGATGCATCATTTCTTGAAACGAAGGTACGTACGTAGCATCTATAGAAAATTGAAGTTACTTTCGTGATAGGGCCCAGATTATGCACGTAGACACTTGAGTCCATTATTATGGTTGTTGCTGTGCATGCACAAATATTCGTGGCAACTCTTTATATATATATATAGCTTGTGCTTGCCGGGTTCGATTAGTTTGAAACTAAACAATTAGAATCTTATATATAGGTCACAATGGAATATATAAATTTGGATGGACTCAAGATATTAAGTCTCTTAATAGCTTTCAGTACGTCGATGGTTGCTTCTAAGTAAACGATAATGATATTTTCTTGCATTAAGCATCACTGCCTGATTGGTTGTTAGAATGTGATTGACTTGGCTAGTGGAATTCAATGAGTTAGAATTAGGAATAAGCGTGTTTTTTTTTTTTGTTTTGTTTTATCAAAGCTAAGCTCACTTTGAAATAATTCAATGAACTCATTACACTATAAAATTTATGAAACAATCAAAAAATTAATTTTTTTTTAAATGCAGGAGTATCGAAATAATAAATAACTCGATAAAACCGGAGTTAAATTACAAGAAAGTTAATTGTATAAATTATAAACAACACTAAAATAACAATAACAACAACAACAATAATAACAATAATAGTAGTAGTAGTAGTAATAATAATAATAATAAAAAGAAGTTGATAAGAATTTTGAGATGAAAAATCAATGTGAGGATTAAGCAATCATAAAAACAAATGTCAAGATTAGAGTATCCTCTAATGCTATTAAAAACAAGTATAGTATAAACTCTTATTACTCAACTGACACATATAAAGGAGGTTATAATCAGATTATAAATTATTAATATGAATGAGTACATTAGTTATCTTATTTGGATAATGCTAATACTTGTAAATGTTGTCAAATATTCATGATTATAACTTATATTAACAACAAATTAATTTTCTTTCATAGCTCAGATGTCGGTTATACTATATGATTTATGTTATGAAAGTGTTAAACATTTGTTATATCAAGTGTTATACAACACAAATCTAGATTAACAATTAACAAGCAAAGTATTAAGAGTGAACAAGATAATAAATGCAAAACATTTTAGTATCAAACATCAAAGTCCATGTTGAGTTTACACTATACTTATTCCTACATCATTAGTGTAACCTTTTCACATTGACATAATAAACTTAATTACACATAATAAAATAGAGAAATATAAATAAACAAGATAAAGACATAAATAAAATAAAAGTTAACTAAGTAAAGGAAATGAAATTAGAAGCATAAACAAGAGATTAATATAATAAAACTTAAGCATTACAATAATAAGATAGTAAGAATATGATCTTGATATGAGAAAACTAAGATGTTTAAATGCATGACAAATGCCTCATTTTAAGGCCAAAATTAGGAAATATTGATTTAATGACTAATTGTTGAGTAGGCAGTCACATCTTGACTTAGTGACAATCCTTATCTTTTTGTCTACAAAAAATATTATTGCTAAGTTTCGAATTCGAACAAACTTAAACCATGAAAGTTTTAGAAAATTGTCTCAGCTTTCCAGAAAAAAAAAAATTAAAGTCATATGGACTTCTAGAACTCAAGATATGGGTTGAACACTAAACAATGTCTAGGCTATAGGACATATTCGGACTTCTATGTTGTTACTAAGATTTGGACTTCTAAATTACAGAATTGAGTTTGCCTTCCTCATGAAAGTTTTAGGCCTATGTCTTAGCTTTTCATCCATATAAAGCAAACCTAAATCCAAGTTCTACAGCTCTATTTATGATTCAATTACCGAATAGTGTTCCAATTTGGACTAAACCAGCATCACTTTTGTAAGCTTCACCCTCTTTTTGTCCTTTCAATTTCAGTACTTTAACTCATCAATCAATTCTTTTATTTATGTGATAGGCCTACATTTAGGATAAATATTTACCATAAATTAAAAGTATTTTATGGTATTAGACTTATTATGTTAAAGAGTTATTGATACTTTAAGTGCAAAAAATAATAAAGTAAAACCTTGATAAAAATGCACTTTTAAGTACTAATCAACTTCTACTAGTTTAGGTCATATTTCTTCTAACTAGTCTTAATCATGTGATTATTATATCCTTCATTAGTTTTCATTAATCTATCCAGATAAATAAACTCATTAAATTTATATATCTGATGAATACCTCTTAAACAAGATATTAATAAACCTTTATTTTGTGCTCAATATATCAATACATAGTTATGAGACTTTACTTGGAAGAAAATAAATTATTTGTTCTAATTTTTAAGGTTAACTTCCTTGGGTTGAGATTATTATTTTTTCCTTTAATATATATACATATAACTTAAAATATAATACATCTTTAACCCATATAACGAGCTTTTAGCTAATGACTTCTAAATCAGTTGGTTTTAGGGCATTAGGTGTTGAGATACCTCTACGAGGTTAGTAACTCAGGTTACAGATATTGATATGTAGATAGTGCAATATTTGATTCCCTTAAGCTTTTCTCCTCAATTCATGTAACAAGTGTAGGGTCAATAGCT